TGATTGGTTGTTGATAATTCAGTCAACCAATCAGATGACTTGACAAGAGATTAAATTGATTTTAACATTGATCGGCCTTTCGGAAACCGGGGGTAAGTTACTTATGCAAACCAAAAAACCATTTCGTACTTTGATATCGAAGTTTCAAAAGGCGCCTTTTTTTTTGGAGAGATAAGGACTAAGAAGATTAGGATAGTTATCTAACTAAATCTACCCTGCCGGCTACTGTATTCACATGGAAGAGGCACCAGGTCTCCGCACCCTAAACCGAAGACAGGACCAAAGACCAAAGACCAATTACCCCTTAGTTTAGTGCAATCGTATCTGCACCCATTTGACCTTGAGCTAGTCATAGTGCTTTTCCTATGCCCCAAAGAGACAAAAGACTATCACAGATGTGCCCAACGGTTGTTCAGCCGCAGTTGCAATCCAAGTGCAATATTGTACCGCAGCCTCGACATGGAACAGGAGAGAAAATGAGGTAGTTATTAATCAGTAAGAGTCTGACACTTCCACTCGTATCACCGTAGACGAGAGAAGTATGACTAGAAGAAGAAGATGGCTTCCCTCCCAAAAAACACTTTTCTTATGCGTTTATAGGGAACACGAAACAAGCCTGGAAGGAAGAAGGTCTTGGTAAATACGTCTCACGTAATTATGATGACGACTCCGCAATTGTACAATGATTTTGCACTAATCACCAATAATTGACAAGTCTAGTATCTACCTGAAATGTCATTCGAAACGTAATCACAAATAACTAGAGTAACTAAACAAAAGCACGCGCTTTTCCTTATCAATGTGACATCGTGATAACAGTATGGGACAATATAGCTAGCCCATAGTACCTACCTCACTTCAATACCAACTTTATTCCGTGCGAAATAAGAACTGATTTCATACTTCTGTCGGGGATTGACCGTAAATAGATGAGAGTGGATTTGTATATAATTGTCATTGTTTGTCGTATCTAATGGATATTCGTTACAGTAATGGCGTAATAAGCATGCAATGTTAACATGTCCTGACAGGTCTTAAATTTTAACGTGCATTGCCTAATGTTAGAAATTTTGATGAAATCGTTATGTGATAAGAAATTAGGAAACGTAATATTATCGTACTACGACTTTGTCTCCAAAAATGCATAAGAAAATAATATCTGCGTCATCTATACGTAATTAAAATAAAAAATGACTTCGTATAAAAAGAAATATTTATAGAAAAAACATTGACTCTTTTTCCATCTTTTTTTTTCTTTTATGGAATAGGAGGCAAATGAGCTTATGCTGTCGAGAAAATGCTTTTCTCATTTTACAATTAGATCAAAAAATATAATTAGCCAATTAAATAATATGAGTCTCCAAAAATTTCGAGAAAATGTCTCATGAGGTTCCGAAACATTTGTTTTACCTATACGAAAAAAAAACAACAAAAAATCTACATGAGTTTTTTTTACTTCTTACAAAAATATCGAAGGAGTATTCACGACTATCCTTCAAATAAAGATGTGCCTGATTCAATGTTATGCTTCAGTGAACACAAGATTTTATTTTATAAGGGAGAAAATACATATATCTGTATCGTAGATAAGATGAAGTTTGATAATATTTAGAGTAGCTAGTTCATTCTATAAGAAACTAAAACAAAAACATTTACCAAAAATAACTCTTTACAACCTGTGTTTTTAAGAAAACAAATCCCAGTTTTATTTTCGAAACAAAAGAAAACAGCCTAATTTTACAGAACACTTTTTAATACTGCTAGATTTCGATCCAAAATGTCTAGATGCTCTCTAACTTTAAGTATAGAAGGTAATTTGTATGATCTGTATTAAACATGAGTTTATCGAGCTAAGTATCGGGCACTAATAAGGTATTAAGGTAATAATAACACTATGGATTATAAGATCTCGTTCGAAATCTTGATTCTCATGCTTGACTTTTTGATTAGTCTTTTTCATGGGATAAGTCGGCAAAGGAGAAGCCGGATCACCTGATGGTAAGCAATCGGTACCGCCCATGGGCACACGCAGCACCAAAGAAGTTTTAAGTGTTGTTAGAGATTTGAGGATTGAGAATTTGGGGATGGGGAAGGAATGGCCTTCCGGTAACCTCACTAAAACTGCGGGACAAACCCATGCGTGGTTACACGCCGGTGTTCGTTAAGGTCGTGGTATCACTACGTTCGAGACAACTTATTAGTTTCAAAGCATGGCTCTCCCACGTTTTTAGTTTATACATACGTATACTTTCCCTATTAAAAAAAGTTCTTTAATACATTTTTAATTTCATTGCATTCGAAGGAAGATGCAACCAGAACCATTATCAACGTGATTACAAATAGCGCAATCTACCAAAGAATGTTAAACGATTGGCCAAACAATCCAAGTGGAAAGAAAGAATAACAATCGTAAAGATAACAGTGGAGAGATAAAAACATCCCTAATGCATTAATCATAGTAGGTAAGTATATAACGTTTACTTTATGCCTTGGAAAATATTTGTCCTGAAATAAGGATTTCCCCCTATGTCAAAGATTCTTCAATAAATATATCTTTCCCATAGCGTCACCCACGAAGAATGGAATTAATACTGGAGAAACAATGAAACAATGAATTTATTTTTGCAAATAGGCCATAAAACGGCACTTTTACACGTCAAATTATATGTGAAAAAAGGAGTTTCTATTTGTTAAACCAAAAATGGTTTTGTCTAGTCATAAATGCTATCTATTCTTAATTCAAAAGTACTCCTAAAATTTAAATTGTTATGGTAATGTCAATATGCAAATTCAGTTGAAAAAAAATCCATTTAATATTGAAAACAATAATATTTAAAAAAAAATAACGAAATCGTGATCGCCAATCTTTAATATGTTATGTGAAATATTATAAAATATCTCCATACAAAAACTCCTCATAATTGTTATACGAATCACACTTAACTAACGCATTTGCGAATTCCTATTAAAATTAAAACACCAGTTGCGTTTTGTCAAAAATGTTCTATTCGAGTACATGACATCATAGATGCTATCGAAACCATTACACTTTATTTATTAACCTATTAATCACACTTGTCATGTTGCTTTTCCGACTATAAAATGATACCAGCATAACTTTTGGACTTAATATTTTTTACATTTAGGTTTAATTTTGGAGAGGATTTTCTTTTAGTAGTGTAAGTGCCAGATAGTTCACGTAATGTCTTTGGTATTCAATTTTATATAATAAGCCTGTGGCTATCGAAACATTGTGAGCCCTAAGCAATGGTGATAGACGATCAGCCATCTTGAAAAATATTTTGAACGTAACACTGACGTCATCTTTATCCCCATTCTACCAATGGAAAAATGGAGCCGACTATTTCAATATAATAAAACGATTGGTAACCTAAGGCAGTAAACCAAGATGGGAAGTTGGGCCTTTATCAGTTAAAAGATTTATTACATTAGGCGTCACATCAGCAACCGGTACCGTTTTCAGTTCCTTACAGATAAAATTTTAATGTTGTGAAACATGCTGATTCTTACGACGTTACCATGCCAGTACTTGAAGATCAAAATGAACTTTTACTGCAGGTTTTGTTTGGAGAGGGCGATCAATTTCGCATTTTCCAGATTAGTTTTACTGGGGCTTATCAATTGGTCTCTATACTGTAATTTGAACATAAGTTACCGTCATTTCCTTTTATGGGACAGCTTGTGATTCCTTTCTCTTACAATTAGAGTATAAACATGCCACATCAAAACTAGGCGTTACATTTGATAAATTATTTTTTCTATTCATACCACGCTTACTCGACAAAACTTCAACGATCTGTAACAGACCCTTCATAGTACTATCAAAGTACCAATTTCTTTATAATGCTCATCTCATTTTTCTTGAATGATTGACATTCATTCCAACACCGAATGATAGAAAGCTTGGGTATAATCAGGGCCTTTTTAATGTGAAAGATCTAGCTAACTACACACAGTACGGCCGACGAGTCTGAAGTTAGCTGTTTGTCTGCACAATGGATCTTTTAGGAACAAAATTGTGTACTGCGGAGCTAATCGGCTAACTTCAGAGTCGCCAAGATACGTTGGCGGTATTGTAATAACTTGACGGTATGCGATCGGTGCCGCCTATAGGCACCCAAAATACCTTTGGTGTTTAGAGTTGTTACGATGTTACTGTTAAAAGTGCCTTGCTGACCTTTCGAGGGTGATGGTTTCGAAGATTGGGGATAAGGCATATTAATATTTCTTTTGAATAACAATAAAATGTAGCTAGTAGTTAAACTTTTAATTTGTTTATTTAACATTTATAACGTAATTTTTATTTTCTAATTCTAAATGGTACAAACATTTTCATCTCAATTTATAACACTTAGTAAAAAAAAAAATGGGTAGTAGAAATTAATATCAATATTTTGGTTTTTAAAACTACGAAAACACTCTCAGGCTCAATTACAATGTGAAATCGGAGCCGAGCTCGCTTATTGCCAGTATATTAAGTTTATGAGACAGCGAAGCCTACCGCAATTTCCTACTGACGACGGAAAAAGTCCAAAGCAATCTAAAGTATACAATATTATTTGTCTTTTGTATGATAATTGGTATTTAAAGAACAAACATTTAACATTCAATTAAGTGCACTCTCAAACTAGCTCTTAAGTAAAGATTTAAAATACGGTCGAATTATATAAAATCTTTATTGTCCAAATTAAATGAATGATCTCTTTGTCTATAAACGACAGTGATTCATTTTATTGTGTTTTCAGAGAGCAAAGCAATGATCCATAATATATTAGGCTATAAAATCAGCGTTACACACACCCCTTTCGGATTCCCCAAATTTTAAACTCTTTAAAATACTCCTGTACGCACGTACATGGAAATACCGCACCTAATCTTAATTATGTGTTGCGTATCAGCACACAGATTACATTGAAACAGTTATAAAGAAGTTAAATAAAAAAGATAGAGCGTTATCTATTATCTCACAAGATTCTTAAAAAGAACGTTTGAATGATATATAAGACAGTTTTAAAAATAACTTCTATGGACCAACGCGCTTCTAAGTTTCATTACTTTAATCCATTTTCATATTAAATACCGAAAATGGAAGAAAAGTCGATTAAAAGTGCGAAAGAAAATGGGAACACCAAAGATGTTGATTACGACGAACTTCTGTCATCGGCTGGCGAATTCGGTCGATACCAGATATTTCTGTTCTTCGCTACGTTTCCGTTTTACGTATTTGGAGCGTTCTCTTACTTCACCCAAGTCTTCTTAACAGAAACTTCGCCAAACCATTGGTGTATGGTGCCAGAACTTGAAAATTTGACTATTCTGGAAAGAAGAAGTTTGGCCATACCATTGAACAAAGAGTCACCATTCGGATATTCAAGATGTGAGCAGTATGACGCAGACTGGACTGAAGTTTTATCGTCAGGAGCCACCTTAAACAGAACATGGAACACAGTGCCTTGTAAGCAGGGTTGGGAATTTAATAAAACAGAATTCGCTTACCCAACAATAGGTAGCGAGATGGGATGGGTGTGCGAAAGAGACAGTTATCAAGCAACTGCACAATCAATGTTTTTTGTTGGATCAATTGTTGGAGGTTTTCTCGTGGGATGGATCGCAGACCGTTTTGGAAGGATACCAGCTGCCGTATTTAGTAACATGGTTGGAGCTATTGCAGGCACAGCTACAATGTTTGCCTCTAATTTTACGGAATTCACAATCTGCCGATTTTTCATGGGGATGTCGTATGACAACTGCATGATGATGACTTATTTGCTGGTGTTGGAATACGTGGCTCCAAAGTACAGGACAAGAATGACTAACTTATCATTTGCCCTTTTCTTTACAACGGGCATTGTTTCGTTGCCTTGGATATCATTGGCTTGTGGACATTGGAAAACAATAGCACTTGCAACAAGTCTGCCTATGGCACTGTCTCTATTAGCTCCGTTTATTATTCCAGAAAGTCCAAGATGGTTATTATCAAAGGGAAGAATTGATGAGGCAATAAATAAAATTACAAATATAGGACGTGTCAACGGAAAAGTAGTACCACAAGATCTAATTGAAGGCTTTAAATACACCACACTGAACAGCAAAAAAGTGCCCGGAAATATAATGGATATGTTAAAAAGACCTATTCTAGCAAGAGTCTTTGTTTGTACTTGTATAGAATTTATGTTTTGCATGATAATTTTTGACGCTCTTGTCAGAACTATAGGGCAGCTACAATTCGATTTTTATGTATCTTTTACTGTTATATCTTTAACTGAATTTCCCTCGTTGGTCCTACTGTCTTTTATATTGGATTACACTGGAAGAAAGTCTATGATATTTGTAGCAATGGTCGTATGTGCTATATTCAGTTTTTTGATACCATTTGTTGGTGGTGGTTTAGCATCGGTGATATGTGCAGTTTTGGCAAGATTTGCAGTGAATATGGCTTGCAATGCAGCTATGCAATGGACAGCAGAAATGTTACCAACATCAGTTAGAGGTTCTGGTTCATCAATAACACACATTTGTGGATATATTGGTACAGTGATATCACCGTTTGTAGCATACCTTGAAGTATTCAGGTCTTGGCTGCCGATGATTGTGGTTGGAGGTATTGCAGTTCTAGCTGCTTTGATTAGTATAACGCTTCCTGAAACGGCTAACAGAGATATGCCACAGACATTTGATGATGCAGAGGAGTTGATTAGAAGTCAAGGATTCTTTGATTTACCACGTAAAAAGAAAGTCACTAATGAAAATGCTAAGGGCCATGCGAATGAAAGCTTTGAACTTAATTAGATTTATGTTTTTGGTATTTTGCTCTGCCCAGTGCATTGTGATTAATGTTACGCTAGAGCTTAATAAAGATTATTTGATTATCGTATAGTACTAGAGCGAGCGAATGTGGAATTTTTCAATAACATGTCAATAATGTCTACATAAGATAAGCGAAATCTATGTTTTATTTTATTTATTATGTGTTTCTTGATCGACTCTCTCCACTTCAAGAAATTAAAGTATTATTATTTAATTTAATACTTGTGTGTTTTCTTTTATTTTAACACAAAGAGCATAAAAAACACAGGACACAAAGTAACACTACCTAAATAATTATACACTAATTATTCATCATCATCTTCCTGCCCTTGTCCCGTTTTATTTGGGGTCGGCGCAATATGTTTTTTTTTTAAATAATTATTATTAAACTAATATTTAGTAATAAACATCATATGGATACTGATATGATTATAGTTTTTTATAATAATGATAATGTTTTTTTGGTCTTGTCTCTTTGCGCCTTGTTCAAAGTTCAACTTTTGTATATGTTTATACTGTTTATAGTTACTCAAATACTATGACTGGTATGTTAGTCCCAAAAGTACTACCATAAACTAAATTGGCCTTCTCAAGACAGCTGTCTTTGCAAATATGATTCATTTTATGTAGAAATTTTATCTAAATCTTTGTATACAATGTTAAATGTTACGAAAGCAAACTTTTGTTACATAATAATTGCTGCCTATTTAAGTGTCTGCCATCTCTTTCTTGAGGTAGTAAAATAAGATAGGGCTGTTACTAGTTGAATGGTAAATGAAAATAATTAATAATTTAATCATAACACTTATTTTTTGGTGCTAATACAGTTTTGACATTAAGAAAATGGAAGGAATCTAGTTCCCTTTTTTAGCTAATAAGAAACTAAGTCACACGTCAATATTTTTTACTTTTTTAGTTAGATATTGTTAGACACTAATAGTTAGTGTAAAACATGAAAATTATTAACAATATCTTTAATTACAAATTGATTTTGAAAAAAAAATGTAAGGTATTTGCATAATGCAAAAGAAAGACGCATTCACTCGGACTGAACTCGAATTAATAAATGACCTTGAAATATATATATTTGTGTTTTACTTGTTTTTTTATCAATTGTATTTGTGTTATGTTTTTTTAGTGCCTTGGAACCGAGTTGTAGGTAGTTGTAGTATGTAAGTTATATTTTTTAAATACCTACTTGCATTTTATTATATAATTGAGCCAATTGTATAGTGAAGAGTAGTTTCAGTTCATGCGGAGAAGTAAAACAGCTTTTTTTTGTTTAACTTTTCAATATTGGCAATTCGAGACATGATAGAAGCACAATAGTCGAAAACGTCGACGTTCGCTTGGGATTTGATGAAATAAGAAGTTAAAAAAATTATACTTAATTGTTTTTGATTTTCTTTAAAGCTTTTGATACTGTTGTAATTGTTTAATAGTTTAATTTATTAACAGATGGTTACAGCAATATTTTCATTTTATTAGGCTCTAACTTTTGTATGACATTCTTTAATGAAATACCATTGTGAAATATTATCAAGTTTACAACATTGGACTAATCCGAAGCATTATTCTAATTTAAGTGGTAGTATTAAGCCTACAATATAATGACCGATGAATTAAAACTATTTACTTGTAACGCTATCTTGTTTGTTCTGTTGATTAGTTTTATGGGAAACACACGTGATAACTATCATATTTTTATATTAATAGGTAAATGTATATCAACTGTTTCTGTTAGGCTGCATAGCTTATGTGTGGGAAAGCAATGCTTCGGCACGAATGGGTCAATTCCGAATTTTCAAACCACAGCGTTGCGTTTCTCCATGTGAGTGAAGTTACGGGAGGCTCTATCCTTCCCCTCCCCCAATCCATAAATCTAAAAACCCCTAATCCCCAAAGGTCGGCAACGCAGCCGTAACACCTTATTCGCGGGTGTCCATAGGCGGCGCTGATTGCTTACCATCAGGTAAACGGTCTGCTTGTTGGCCGACCTATTACATAAAAAATATAGCGGACTTTAGGCGAGTGTAATCGTTTTAACTGAAGGAAAGACAGCATAACATTAACAATTACGTTTGATTTTCAAAGCGCAAGTAGTCTTGCATTGTTCATTGTAGCTTCCATCAGCCGAGGTAGTGAGGCAAGCGCCATATGCTACTGTGACCTTGGCATAGAGAATTAATGGCCGGTTTTTAGTCTGAGTCTGACACTCCCTTTCCACTTACCTCAGGTGAGAGAAGTTACAAGTCATTTTAGATGATTTCGCCTGCACAAAAAAGGCATCCATTTTTCTCCACACTCCTAAGTAATAAAGGTATTGGGGTGTTATAGGCATCAATTTAAGTAACTTATTAAGTATACTGGGTCCCTATAAACAAATTTCAACTATAAACACTACAAAGCTAGTTTTAAGAGATAAATTCCAACATCTGGTCTACCACTGATTGCGTTCTATACACTCTTGTTTGAACAAACTGTAACCTAACAAGGCGGGTGTTGTTTTTCATTTAGATTTCATGCGACATTAACGAATGACAAAGCGTATTGAAGATATGGCTGCAATTTCATATTGTACGTGGGAAACTTAACGCTGATCTGACGCCAGCTGTGGAGAATATTGTAAGGCCTTTTTTTGTGAAGGGAATATCATCAAATGACTTCTCCCGCCCAGGGTCGGGCAGGAGCGAGTGTCAGACTCTTACTGACTAAAAACCCCTCCGTTCCTTCTCCTGCTCTGGACCGAGGTCGCGGTGCCTTATTGCGCTTACCCCTCAACCCCGGCTGAACATCTTGGCTCTTAAGGCTTACGACGTACCTTTGTGACTCGTATGGTGTTGTGGGTGTCGATAATAGACGGAGTCGATTGGTTATCGTTAGATGGCTCGTTAATTAGTTTGAGCCTCGCTTTAATATATTGTTATAGATTGATATTGACATTCGTATGTCAAAAATTCATTTCAAGACCATACTATAATGAGCTATTATTAGCCTATAAGCTCCTACTGCTGAACAAAGGCCTCTTCTCACACGGAGAAGGTATGAGCTTCTAATTAGAAAGTACAAGTCTAGGTTTCCACACGATGTTTTCCTTCGCCGCTACTTTTCAGTGGCGCAAATACAGTTTGAAAGTGCGTATGAATTAGACAAAGTTACATTGGTACTTGCTAGGTTTCAAACACTCATGCATGAGAAGCGAGTGCCTTAACCTGCGGGTCACCACGACACATTGAGTTCATACATTGAGTTTTTATTCTCTGAGGACAGATTTTTCAATAGTCAGATAAATGTTATCTGAGGAATATAATTGTTGCTGTCACTGTCGTATACAAACATTCTGACGCGACAGTATCATAATTATTCCCCATATAACTTTCATCTAACTATTGAAAAGTCAGACCTCAGTCTACTTTTAAGTGATGTCATTTGATTTGTAGCTCTGTAGATAAATAAATAGATTAATAGATAATATTTTCATAGTACGCCATTTTAAGTTGAAATAATTAAAAACATATTTTTTATGAGCGTTCACTATCAGTTGTACAGTGGGTGACCTTATCGTAGGCTACGATCTTTTATATTATTATATTATTTTAACCTGGTATATTATTATATCTATACATGTATATAAAAATGGATCGCAAAATGTGTTGGAAAGCGCATAACTCAACAAGAACTGGAACAATTTAGTTAATTCTTTTTTTGTTGTAGAGGAAAGTCACCAAATATGAAATAGTATCCTAATATGGAATACCTTCATTTCTCTAAGACTATAAGTATGAAACGCAACACTCGACCATCTTCTGTTCCATTCGGTCTACTAACTATCGCACTCATACCATCGAGTCAGTTGCGCGAACGCTTCACGTGTGGCAGGCGTGTTTTGTTTTGTTGTCGTGCGGAAAATTTTAAAGGTAAGTAATAAATGAGTATTACCAGCTGATATGTTTGTATACATAAGTGTTATACTATTTAGTATATCGGTATTATGTTTATTTCACCATTTTATGATCTTTTAATTTCAAAATATTGTGACTTAAAAAAATATTTAGAAGAGTTTGAACTAGTATAAAAATCCAAATATGGACAGTCGTCGGTGTCTAATTATGGAATATTCCATAATTAGATATAATATTTCATATGATAGATACTTGCTTGCTAAAAATATATGTAATCTTTATTTTTAGAATGTCCGGTGCACAATCAACCAAACGAAAAACCTGGGATGAAGAAAAAATGGCACAAGCTATAAAATTCGTCCGGGAAAAGAAAATGGCGTATTTGAAAGTGGCACAGCATTGTCAAGTGCCTAGGACAACTTTATTTCGTCTCTGCCAAAAAGATGAACAGTCTCCAGAAGTGGCAGCAGCTAAGAAAATAAACTAGTCAAGACAAAGAATAAGAAGAAAACTGCGAAGAGAAACAAACAAACGAAGAAAAATAAGGATGATAGTGAAGAAGAAGACTCTGAGGAACTAGACGTTATCCAGTTTGATGAAGGTAGTGAACATGATGAGTTGATGGACCAAGTACCTCCTGACTCTGCTGATGCAGAATGTATGTTCTGTTCAAGACTTTTTCCATGGATAAAAGTGGAGAAAGCTGGATTAAATGCTTGATGTGTGGGCTCTGGGCACATTATGATTGTGCTGGTCCAGAGTTTGATACTTGGATCTGTGACTTTTGCAAGTAATTATGTAACTTCTTTCATTTATCACAATATGTTATATTTATTTAATTGATCTCAAAGATATTAATGTCCATTTTTGTTACTGTTATGTTGATTTATGCTTATATTCCATATATGGGTACCTATTCCATATTTGGTTACTCATTTGTGATTTTGTTTTTTATGTTACATTTTAATTTGGTAACTAATATATTTGATTAAAGGCTGTTAATTACTACATATAAATGTATGACTGATTAGTAAAAACATTAAACTGTTTTAATTTATATGAAGTTTTTTTTTTACATCCCAAAAACAAAATAGTATTCCATATTTGGTGACTTTCCTCTATTTATTACGACGAGGAGAAGGTTCTTATCAAAGAAAATATTAGTAAAGTAGAGAGGATAATTGGGAAAATCTGAACATTTTTGT